CCGGGGAATCTTTAAGAAGATGAGTGGGAACTGAATCTAACAGATATGTGGTAGGTTTTGTTTTGATTATTAGTTTTGTTTTATTTTTTACTAATCTTGTGAGAAACAGAGAACAGAAGTACAGAGAAAAAGCAGAGCATATATATGTCAAAGTTTTACAGTATCTTACCTAAAAATTTTAGCATTTATGAAGATAATCACTCTCAGGGATTCATAGTTTGAAATTAATGTATAACAACATCCACTGTCATTCTTTAGATAGTAGAAACTGTCTGTATGAGTATGTAGGGTATGTGTGAGATGTGGTCGTGCAACAGGAAGTCAGAGTTATTCTCCAGAAAGCACATGCTATTGAGCTATCAGGTCACAAGCTATGACCTGTTTAAGATAAGAAACAGTGTTTGGTGCAAAGATGATTCTAGGATTCTTCTTCATTTCTGTCATTGCTGTTTTATCAGGTAAGATTCAGTCACTATAAGTATTCTGCCTTGATACCAGAATAACTGTTATCTTTCAGTAACAATAATACATAATACAGACAAATCCAATAACAGCTAAAATGTTTAAATAAAATAATTTTAATGATTTATCTTGTTGTTTCCAATTGCTATCTATGCTATCTACTGCACAATTGCTACAGAGTCAAGTGACTAATTTTATGATTTTCATTATTTTCATTAAGAAAGGTTTTAATGCAGGCATCAATTCATATTTGCATAGTTAGTATTTTGCAGCAGAGAGTAAAGCTATATAGTACAATGGAATACATGCAAAAACATACATTGTAATTTGTACGACTTTAATTTTTGCATTTTTATAATTTTCCATAAATATCGTAGTGACTTTTTAAAATGTCTGTTTAAATCTTTTCAATAGTATTTCCATTCTCATTTGCACAGATATATGTACAGTGGTACCTCAGAACTCGAATTTAATCCGTTCAGAACTCCGGATCGAATCCTAAAAAGTTCGAGTTGTGATCGAATTTTCCCTATAAGAAATAATGGAAAACTATTTAATTGGTTCCCGGCCCCAAAAGATTACATCTAAATATGTTTTTTTTTTAGCATTTAAACACAAAATGAATTGGATAAAACAAGAAGAGCATATTCTGTACTAAACACATCTAAGCACATTTATCAAAACAGTAATTTGTAAAGTAAGAAAATAAATGTATCCAAACAATGTGTAAAGTTAAAAAAACTATGCATCCTGCCCCGATCGTCCGCTCGTTAACCCCGTGTGGAATCCCCGTGTGATCAGCTGTTTCTGGTTGTTGTCATTANTCATTAGTCCTCTGTATTTAGTCCGCGTTTCAGTTTGTTTCCCCAGTCCGGTCTTTGTTTTGTCCGTCTGCGTTTTGCCTGCCTTACCTGTAATTAAACCCGTATTCCCCGATACCCTGATGTCTGCGCCTTTGTCTCCGTTCTGTCCCCACTCGGCACAACAATATTATTATAATTACACGTATTAATGGTTTATTATTAATATTAAAATAATGAATAAGAAATCTTTATTTTTAAATGTATTTTATTATAATTACTGTTATAGTGTCTATCATTGTCTGCTATACCCCTTTGTCCACTGTTTTATTCACTATAATTCAAGAAAACAGGGTTAAATATTTATATATGCATCTTCAACATAAAGCAACGGAAAGTTTTTAATGAATATATAGAGTGTGAAAACCACACATTCTCAGAGGCTCAAAATGACGGCAGGAGATCTCTCTGTTAAATTCTCTCTTTAAAAAAAGACATCTAATCATTTCTCTTTTGTTATGCAGGCACTAATAGTGAGAAGGGACATATAAAGATAGCAGTTCAGGAAGAAGAGAATGTGACCATTCCATGTTCCTATGATAACAAGCATGCTGATCATCAGAAACTATGGTGCAAAGAATCAATGGCAACTTGTTTTTCTCAAGGAGTCCATATATCAGTCACTGATTACCCTGATCAGGGTGTCTTCACAGCGACCATGAGGAGCCTGCAGAGACATGATTCTGGCATATACTGGTGTGCTGTAGAAGCTGGTGGGGAAACCAGAGCATTTGGCGATTCATATATCATAACAGTCATCAAAGGTAATATGTTCTTAATATGACATTTAAATTGTTTTAGATATGGAATAGGCATAAGGGGGTTGATTCTGCAATGAAGCACTTAAGTCAAAAAATCATCTAAAAAGTTACGCACTTTCGAGTTAAGCGTATTCTCCCCTTCTCAGCGCGGACATGCCCACCGCACTTAACCTGAAAGAGAAGGCGCGGCAGGGCAAGAAGCATAAATCTATGCTTAATGGGGTAGAGGGGTGGGATTTAAGTGTCAGTTACTAGGAATTTGTTTGGAATAATACATTGCAGATTAAGCATATAAGCTTAAGTTTAAGCTTATTTTAACTATGCAGTTCATTGCATTATTGTTTTATCAGCAATGCATTCTAAACATTTAGTCCATGCTACTAATAACAGCATGTTTAGGCATATTTGCTTGTTTATTACAGAATTGTTTTGAATGAAGAGGGGAAAAGCTGAAGTACCTGTATATGCATTTAAAAAATATGCATCATTCTAGCAAACTCATGTCATCATTTTCTCAAATTTTTAAAATTAGTTTGATGTCAAACATTTTTTTGTCTAAAAGGTTGATTTTGATTGAATGAACAAAATTGAATGATTTAAAAACATTTTGTCTAGTTTTGTGTTATTTGATCTTAAAACTGCAGCTGTAGTGCCTATTTGGGGAAAATCGTTGATTTTTAAACCAGAGCTTTAAATTACATCATTTTAATACAAAAAGTATTCATAAATCCATATGGAGATACAAACAAAGATATACAGACACACTCTAACCACTGCAGATAACATGTATCCATTCTGTCCCTGTTAAGGTCCTCCAGACCTGTCAGTGAGGGACATCATGGTGAATGGTGAGGAGGGCGGTACTGTCACTGTCCAGTGTCTCTACAGTGACAAAAACAAGTACACCAAGAAGACATGGTGCAGGAGAAACATGGAGAAGTCCTGTTTATCAGTATGGGGCAGAACTGTCACGAGAGACAGAATTACATTACATGTCAATAATGTAGAAAGAATCATGACTGTGACACTGACCAGACTGCAGAAGGAGGACACAGACTGGTACTGGTGCAGTGTGGGAGACTTAAACTTCCCCGTTCATATTGCTGTTTCTCATCAAACACAGAGTAAGCTAAACTCTGAACAAAGCATAACTCTCAAATAGATATGATAATAATAATATATTGATTGACTGTATCGATTTAATACTCATAAATTATATTCATACATATATAAAATCTATGCTAGGGTTCATTTGGAGTTCTCTGGTTACCTCCCACAGTCCAGAAACCTGTTACAGTGAATTGGAGTTACCATATTGCCCGTAGGTGTGAATCTGTGACTGAATGGTGTGCATGTGCCCTGTGATGGGTTGGCATCCCATCCAGGGTTATTCTCTGCCTTGTGCCATAGCTTCTGGGATAGGCTCCAGCCCCTGTAACCCTGCATAGTAAAATGTGTATGGAAAAATGGATGAATAGACATTCCACACTATATCACCGGAAAGCTGTTTTTTTGCATTTATCTGAACATTGACTTGCTTTGGGAATGGCAGGGTAATGTTCTTATATTTGCATGGCACTGACACATTGAGCATCCATCTTCCCACTGCTTATGCTGATCAGGGTTGTGAGGGAGCCTGAAGCCTTTGCCAGACAGGGCACATATTGGGCACAAAGCTGGGGTGTTTCACTGATACTATGTAATCATGTCATATTGAAAAAACTCAGAAATACTAAACTGTGTTACAGCTAATAGATGTCCAACAACTCTGATGGCCTTGACTACAAACATGCCAACAACATCACCAACAGAATCTTCTGCAGTTCCATCTTCAACTGACTTAATGCCTACTGGAACCAGAAATGGGACACATACATGGCGTTTCACCAGGTGCAGTGAAAAAATACTAAAATTAATCAAATCTTACGCCAATATTTAAGAAAAATATATTTTATGAAATATAAACAATGTAATCTAAGTAAAAAGCCAAGATTTTAAGCTATGCAATATTCTTAACTTCCATCCACCTTCCTCCATTCATCCTGGTACGGGTCTCACTGGCATCGGTCTCAGCAGAGATGCCCACACCACCCTCTCCCCAACCACCTCCTCCAGCTCCACCATAGGGATGCCAAGATACACTCAGGCCAGCTGAGAAATGTAGTCTCTCTAGCATGTGCTGATTCTGCCCTGGGGTCTCCCCCACGTTGCCCACCTCCCCAGGAAGGCATCTAGGAGGCACCCTAGCCAGATGCCCCACCCATCTCATTCGGTTACTTTGATCCCCTCCCGAGTGTCAGAGCTAGTCACCCAGTATCCAAGGCCCAGACACCCCATGAATGCTCAGAGCATGTGAGGGTAAAAACACAGATTGACCAGTAAACTTCTCCACTTGAGGCAGTAACTCATCCGCTTCCTGGAGGGGGGAAATCCACCAGGATGAGAACCATGGCCTTCAATTTGGGGGTGCTAATCCCCATTCTAGCTGCTTCATACTTGACTGCACACTGCCCTAGTGCACGCTGCAGCTCACAGCTGAATAAAGCCAACAGGACCATATTATCTGCGAAAAGAAATTATATAATTCTGAGGTCACTGAACTGGACACCCTCTACCTCTTGACTGTGCCTGGAAATTCTGTAACTCCCTTCCAGCATTCATTGTCATGATTGTCATTAATTCCATGAGTGTTAAAGTCCTCCAGTGAACAATGGCGTCCCCAGAGGGGGGGGGGGGTGCCTTCCATACAAAGTCTCCAAAAAGGCTGGATACTCTGAACTGGTTTGTTATAGTGCATAGGCACAGACCACAGTCAAGTGCATAGCGCATAGGCAGAGATGAAGCCCATCCCCTGACCAAAAGTGTAAGGGAGCAGACTTACACCAGCCCTGCACCTCTCACACAAGGCAACTCCACATGAATAACAATAATTTCAAAGACCCAAACACAATGTTCTACAAATATTCACATATTGACAGAAGAACCTGTTAGCCTGTAAAGCTAATTACCCACCACTGACATTTATTTAACCATTTTCTACAGTGTGTCTCTGCTGAAAATACTCCTACCATCAT